TGCGTCGGCTGGTAAGGTCAGTATGCACGCTTGTGTGTAGGTACAAGGCGGAACTGGAACTCTGAAGTCTCCCAAATTATGTGGATCGGAAAGGTTATATCGTAGTGTTGTTGAAGTAGAAGGCCTAATCTAGTGGACTGGCAAGAATATGGTAGTAACTGCATCTCTACAAACATGAGTAATGCGCTGGTCAGTTTGGTCGCTATGCGCGCCTGTAGTGCAGGTACCATGTACGACTGAAATGTCTTTATCTGCCAAATTACATAGATCCGATAGGTTAAAACATGGTATGGGGGTGGGGAATGGTATCATTTAAAGGAAATAGGAATACATATGGTATTCACTGTATTTGTACGGAGAGAATAATGTGTCGGCTGGTAAGGTCAGTATGCACGCTTGTGTGTAGGTACAAGGCAGAACTGAACTCTGAAATCTCCCAAATTATATGGATCGGAAAGGTTATAACCTAGTGTTGTTGAAGTAGAAGGCCTAATCTAGTGGACTGGCAAGAATATGGCACCAACTGCATCTCTACAAACATACGTAATGCGCTGGTCAGTTTGGTCGGTATGCGCGCCTGTAGTGCAGGTACCATGTACGACTGAACTGTCTATATCTTCCAAATTACATAGATCCGATAGGTTAAAACATGATGGGGGGTGGAGAATGGTATCATTTAAAGGAAATGGGAATACATATGGTATTCACTGTATTTGTACGGAGAGAATAACGTGTCAGTTGGTAAGGTCAGTATGCACGCTTGCGTGTAGGTACAAGGCGGAACTGGAACTCTAAAATCTCCCAAATTTTGTGGATCTGAAAGGTTATAACACAGTGTTGTTGAAGTAGAAGGCCTAATCTAGTGGACTGGCAAGAATATGGTAGTAACTGCATCTCTACAAGCATGAGTAATGCGCTAGTCAGTTTGGTCGCTATGCGCGCCTGTAGTGCATGTACCATGTACGACTGAAATGTCTTTATGTGCCAAATTACATAGATCCGATAGGTTAAAACATGGTATGGGGGTGGGGAATGGTATCAATTAAAGGAAATGGGAATACATATGGTATTCACTGTATTTGTACGGAGGGAATAATGCGTCGGCTGGTAAGGTCAGTATGCACGCTTGTGTGTAGGTACAAGGCGGAACTGGAACTCTGAAATCTTCCAAATTATGTGGATCGGAAAGGTTATAACCTAGTGTTGTTGAAGTAGAAGGCCTAATCTAGTGGACTGGCAAGAATATGGTAGTAACTGCATCTCTACAAACATGAGTAATGCGCTGGTCAGTTTGGTCGCTATGCGCGCCTGTAGTGCAGGTACCATGTACGACTTAAATGTCCTAATCTGCCAAATTACATAGATCCGATAGGTTAAAACATGGTATGGGGGTGGGGAATGGTATCATTTAAAGGAAATGGGAATACATATGGTATTCACTGTATTTGTACGGAGAGAATAATGCGTCGGCTGGTAAGGTCAGTATGCACGCTTGTGTGTAGGTACAAGGCGGAACTGGAACTCTGAAGTCTCCCAAATTATGTGGATCGGAAAGGTTATAACCTAGTGTTGTTGAAGTAGAAGGCCTAATCTAGTGGACTGGCAAGAATATGGTAGTAACTGCATCTCTACAAACATGAGTAATGCGCTGGTCAGTTTGGTCGCTATGCGCGCCTGTAGTGCAGGTACCATGTACGACTTAAATGTCCTAATCTGCCAAATTACATAGATCCGATAGGTTAAAACATGGTATGGGGGTGGGGAATGGTATCATTTAAAGGAAATGGGAATACATATGGTATTCACTGTATTTGTACGGAGAGAATAATGCGTCGGCTGGTAAGGTCAGTATGCACGCTTGTGTGTAGGTACAAGGCGGAACTGGAACTCTGAAGTCTCCCAAATTATGTGGATCGGAAAGGTTATAACCTAGTGTTGTTGAAGTAGGAGGCCTAATCTAGTGGACTGGCAAGAATATGGTACTAACTGCATCTCTACAACCATACGTAATGCGCTGGTCAGTTTGGTCGCTATGCACGCCTGTAGTGCAGGTACCATGTACGACTGAAATGTCTTTATCTGCCAAATTACATAGATCCGATATGTTAAAACATGGTATGGGGGTGGGGAATGGTATCATTTAAAGGAAATAGGAATTCGTATGATATTCACTGTATTTGTACGGAGAGAATAATGTGTCGGCAGGTAAGGTCAGTATGCACGCTTGTGTGTAGGTACAAGGCGGAACCGGAACTCGGAAATCTCCCAAATTATGTGGATCGGAAAGGTTATAACCTAGTGTTGTTGAAGTAGGAGGCCTAATCTAGTGGACTGGCAAGAATATGGTACTAACTGCATCTCTACAACCATACGTAATGCGCTGGTCAGTTTGGTCGCTATGCGCGCCTGTAGTGCAGGTACCACGTACGACTAGAATGCCTATACCTGCCAAATTACATAGATCCGATATGTTAAAACATGGTAGGGGGGTGGGGAATGGTATAATTTAAAGGAAATGTGAATAAATATGGTGTTCACTGTATCTGTACAGAGAGAATAATGTGTTGGCTGGTAACGTCAGTATGCATGCTTGTGCGTAAGTACAAGGCGGAACTTTAACTCTGAAATCTCCCAAATTATGTGGATCGGAAAGGTTATAACCTAGTGTTGTTGAAGTAGAAGGCCTAATCTAGTGGACTGGCAAGAATATGACACTAACTGCATCTCTACAAACATGAGTAATGCGCTGGTCAGTTTGGTCGCTATGCGCGCCTGTAGTGCAGGTACCATGTACGACTGAAATGTCTTTATCTGCCAAATTACATAGATCCGATAGGTTAAAACATGGTATGGGAGTGGGGAATGGTATCATTTAAAGTAAATGGGAATACATATGGCATTTGCTGTATTTGTACAGAAAGAATAATGCGTCGTCCAGTAAGGCCAGTATGCACGCTTGTGTGTAGGTACAAGGCGGAACTGGAACTCTGAAATCTCCCAAACTATGTGGATCAGAAAGGTTACAACCTAGTGTTGTTGAAGTAGAAGGCCTAATCTAGCGGACTGGCAAGAATATGGTTCTAACTCTCTACAAATATGAGTAATGCGCTGGTCAGTTTGGTTGCTATGCACGCCTGTAGCGCAGGTACCATGTACGAATGGAATGTCTATATCTGCCAAATTAAATAGATCCGATAGGTTAAAACATGGTAGGGGGGTGGGGAGTGGTATAATTTAAACAAAATGGGAATACATATGGTATTCACAGTATTTGTACAGAGAGAATAATGCGTCGGCTGGTAAGGTCAGTATGCACGCTTGTGTGTAGGTACAAGGTGGAACACTGAACTCTCCCAAATTATGTGGATCAGAAAGGTTATAACCTAGTCTTGTTGAAGTAGAAGGCCTAATCTAGTGGACTGGCAAAAATATGGTACTAACTGCATCTCTACAAACATGAGTAATGCGCTGGTCAGTTTGGTCGCTATGCGCGCCTGTAGTGCAGGTACCACGTACGACTGGAATGTCTATATCTGCCAAATTACATAGATCCATTAGGTTAAAACATGGTAGGGGGGTGGGGAATGGTATAATTTGAAGTAAATGGGAATACATATGGTATTTGCTGTATTTGTACAGAAAGAATAATGCGTCGGCCGGTAAGGCCAGTATGCACGCTTCTGTGTAGGTACAAGGCGGAGCTGGAACTCTGAAATCTCCCAAACTATGTGGATCTGAAAGGTTATAACCTAGTGTTGTTGAAGTAGAAGTCCTAATCTAGTGGACTGCCAAGAATCTGGCACTAACTGCATCTCTACAAACATACGTAATGCGCTGGTCAGTTTGGTCGGTATGCGCGCCTGTAGTGCAGGTACCGTGTACGACTGAAATGTCTTTATCTGCTAAATGACATAGATCCGATAGGTTAAAACATGGTAGGGGGGTGGGAAATGGTATCATTTAAAGGAAATGGGAATACATATGGAATTCACTGTATTTGTACGGGGAGAATAATGTGTCGGTTGGTAAGGTCAGTATGCACGCTTGTGTATAGGTACAAGGCGGAGCTGGAACTATGAAATCTCCAAAACTATGTGGATCGGAAAGGTAATAACCTAGTGTTCTTGAAGTAGAAGGCCTAATCTAGTGGACTGGCAAGAATATGAGACTAACTGCATCTCTACAAACGCGCTGGTCAGTTTGGTCGGTATACGCGCCTGTAGTGCAGGTACCATGTACGACTGAAATGTCTATATCTGCCAAATTACATAGATCCGATAGGTTAAAATATGGTAGGGGGGTAGGAAATGGTATTTTTTAATGGAAATGGGAATACATACGGTATTCACTATATTTGTACGGAGAGAAAAATGCGTCGGCTGGTAAGGTCAGTATGCACGCTTGTGTGTAGGTACAAGGCGGAACTGGAACTCTGAAGTCTCCCAAACTATGTGGATCGGAAAGGTAATAACCTAGTGTTCTTGAAGTAGAAGGCCTAATCTAGTGGACAGGCAAGAATATGGTACTAACTGCATCTTTACAAACATAAGTATTGCGCTGGTCAGTTTGGTCGATATGCACGCCTGTAGTGCAGGTACCATGTACGACTGGAATGTCTATATCTGTCAAATTACATAGATCCGATAGGTTAATACATGGTACGGGGGTCGGGAATGGAATAATTTAAAGGAAATGGGAATACATATGGTATTCACTGTATTTGTACAGAGAGAATAATGTGTCGGCTGGTAAGGTCATTATGCACGCTTGCGTGTAGGTACAAGGCGGAGCTGGAACTCTGAAATCTCCCAAATTATGTGGATCGGAAAGGCAATAACCTAGTGTTGTTGAAGTAGAAGGCCTAATTTAGTGGACTGGCAAGAATATAGCACTAACTACATCTCTACAAATATACGTAATGCGCTGGTCAGTTTGGTCGATATGCGCGCCTGTAGTGCAGGTACCATGTACGACTGGAATGTCTATATCTGCTAAATTACCTAGAAAGCGGGAGAATGGGGCGGGGTGATGGAAAGCGGGAGAATGGGGCGGGGTGCTGGAAAGCGGGAGAATGGGGTGGGGTGATGGAAAGCGGGAGAATGGGGCGGGGTGATGGAAAGCGGGAGAATGGGGCGGGGTGATGGAAAGAGAGAGAATGGGGCGGGGTGATGGAAAGAGGGAGAATGGGGCGGGGTGATGGAAAGCGGGAAAATGGGGCGAGGTGATGGAAAGAGGGAAAATGGGGCGGGGTGATGGAAAGTGGGAGAATGGGGCGGGGTGATGGAAAGCGGGAGAACGAGGCGGGGTGACGGAAAGCGGGAGAATCGGGCGGGGTGATGGAAAGCGGGAGAATGGGGCGGGGTGATGGAAAGCGGGAGAATGGGGCGGGGTGATGTAAAGCGGGAGAATCGGGCGGGGTGATGGAAAGCGGGAGAATGGGGCGGGGTGATGGAAAGCGGGAGAATGGGGCGGGGTGATGGAAAGCGGGAGAATGGGGCGGGGTGATGGAAAGCGGGAGAATGGGGCGGGGTGATGGAAAGCGGGAGAATGGGGCGGGGTGATGGAAAGCGGGAGAATGGGGCGAGGTGATGGAAAGAGGGAGAATGGGGCGGGGTGATGGAAAGTGGGAGAATGGGGCGGGGTGATGGAAAGTGGGAGAACGGGGCGGGGTGACGCAAAGCGGGAGAATCGGGCGGGGTGATGGAAAGCGGGAGAATGGGGCGGGGTGATGGAAAGCGGGAGAATGGGGCGGGGTGATGTAAAGCGGGAGAATCGGGCGGGGTGATGGAAAGCGGGAGAATGGGGCGGGGTGATGGAAAGCAGGAGAATGGGGCGGGGTGATGTAAAGCGGGAGAATCGGGCGGGGTGATGGAAAGCGGGAGAATGGGGCGGGGTGATGGAAAGCGGGAGAATGGGGCGGGGTGATGGAAAGCGGGAGAATGGGGCGGGGTGGTGGAAAGCGGGAGAATGGGGCGGGGTGATGGAATGAGGTAGAATGGGGCGGGGTGATGGAAAGCGGGAGAATGGGGCAGGGTGATGGAAAGCGGGAGAATGGGGCAGGGTGATGGAAAGCGGGAGAATGGGGCGGGGTGCTGGAAAGCGGGAGAATGGGGCGGGGTGATGGAAAGCGGGAGAATAGGGCGGGGTGCTGGAAAGTGGGAGATTGGGGCGGGGTGGTGGAAAGCAGGAGAATGGGGCGGGGTGATGGAAAGCGGGAGAATGGGGCGGGGTGATGGAAAGCGGGAGAATGGGGCGGGGTGATGGAAAGCGGGAGAATCGGGCGGGGTGATGGAAAGCGGGAGAATGGGGCGGGGTGCTGGAAAGCGGGAGAACGGGGCGGGGTGATGGAAAGCGGGAGAATCGGGCGGGGTGATGGAAAGCGGGAGAATGGTGCGGGGTGATGGAAAGCGGGAGAATGGGGCGGGGTGATGGAAAGCGGGAGAATGGGGCGGGGTGATGGAAAGCGGGAGAATGGGGCGGGGTGATGGAAAGCGGGAGAATGGGGCGGGTGATGGAAATCGGGAGAATGGGGCGGGGTGATGGAAAGAGGGAGAATGGGGCGGGGTGATGGAAAGTGGGAGAATGGGGCGGGGTGATGGAAAGCGGGAGAACGGGGCGGGGTGACGGAAAGCGGGAGAATCGGGCGGGGTGATCGAAAGCGGGAGAATGGGTCGGGGTGATGGAAAGCCGGAGAATGGGTCGGGGTGATGGAAAGCGGGAGAATGGGGCGGGGTGATGGAAAGCGGGAGAATGGGGCGGGGTGATGTAAAGAGGGAGAATGGGGCGGGGTGATGGAAAGAGGGAGAATGGGGCAGGGTGATGGAAAGCGGGAGAATTGGGCGGGGTGATGGAAAGAGGGAGAATGGGGCGGGGTGATGGAATGAGTTAGAATGGGGCGGGGTGATGGAAAGCGGGAGAATGGGGCAGGGTGATGGAAAGCGGGAGAATGGGGCAGGGTGATGGAAAGCGGGAGAATGGGGCGGGGTGCTGGAAAGCGGGAGAATGGGGCGGGGTGATGGAAAGCGGGAGAATGGGGCGGGGTGATGGAAAGCGGGAGAATCGGGCGGGGTGATGGAAAGCGGGAGATTGGGACGGGGTGCTGGAAAGCGGGAGAATGGGGCGGGGTGATGGAAAGCGGGAGAATGGGGCGGGGTGATGGAAAGCGGGAGAATGGGGCGGGGTGATGGAAAGCGGGAGAATCGGGCGGGGTGATGGAAAGCGGGAGAATGGGGCGGGGTGCTGGAAAGCGGGAGAACGGGGCGGGGTGCTGGAAAGCGGGAGAACGGGGCGGGGTGCTGGAAAGCGGGAGAATCGGGCGGGGTGATGGAAAGCGGGAGAATCGGGCGGGGTGATGGAAAGCGGGAGAATGGGGCGGGGTGATGGAAAGCGGGAGAATGGGGCGGGGTGATGGAAAGCGGGAGAATGGGGCGGGGTGATGGAAAGCGGGAGAATGGGGCGGGTGATGGAAATCGGGAGACTGGGGCGGGGTGATGGAAAGAGGGAGAATGGGGCGGGGTGATGGAAAGTGGGAGAATGGGGCGGGGTGATGGAAAGCGGGAGAACGGGGCGGGGTGACGGAAAGCGGGAGAATCGGGCGGGGTGATCGAAAGCGGGAGAATGGGTCGGGGTGATGGAAAGCCGGAGAATGGGTCGGGGTGATGGAAAGCGGGAGAATGGGGCGGGGTGATGGAAAGCGGGAGAATGGGGCGGGGTGATGTAAAGAGGGAGAATGGGGCGGGGTGATGGAAAGAGGGAGAATGGGGCAGGGTGATGGAAAGCGGGAGAATTGGGCGGGGTGATGGAAAGAGGGAGAATGGGGTGGGGTGATGGAAAGAGGGAGAATGGGGCGGGGTGATTGAAAGAGGGAGAATGGGGTGGGGTGATGGAAAGAGAGAGAATGGGGCGGGGTGATAGAAAGCGGGAGAATCGGGCGGGGTGATGGAAAGCGGGAGAATTGGGCGGGGTGATGGAAAGAGGGAGAATGAGGTGGGGTGATGGAAAGAGGGAGAATGGGGCGGGGTGATGGAAAGCGGGAGAATCGGGCGGGGTGATGGAAAGCGGGAGAATCGGGCGGGGTGCTGGAAAGCGGGAGAATGGGGCGGGGTGATGGAAAGCGGGAGAATGGAGCGGGGTGCTAGAAAGAGGGAGAATGGGGCGGGGTGATGGTAAGCGGGAGAATAGGGCGGGGTGATGGAAAGCGGGAGAATGAGGCGGGGTGCTGGAAAGCGGGAGAATGGGGCGGGGTGATGGAAAGCAGGAGAATGGGGCGGGGTGATGGAAAGCGGGAGAATGGGACGGGGTGATGGAAAGCGGGAGAATGGGGCGGGGTGATGGGAAGAGGGAGAATGGGGCGGGGTGATGGAAAGCGGGAGAATGGGGCGGGGTGATGGAAAGCGGGAGAATGGGGCGGGGTGCTGGAAAGCGGGAGAATGGGGCGGGGTGATGGAAAGCGGGAGAATAGGGCGGGGTGATGGAAAGCAGGAGAATGGGGCGGGGTGATCGAAAGCGGGAGAATGGGGCGGGGTTATGGAAAGAGGGAGAATGGGGCGGGGTGATGGAAAGAGGGAGAATGAGGCGGGGTGATGGAAAGAGGGAGAATGGGGCGGGGTGATGGAAAGCGGGAGAATGGGGCGGGGTGATGGAAAGCGGGAGAATGGGGCGGGGTGATGGAAAGCGGGAGAATGGGGCGGGTGATGGAAAGCGGGAGAATGGGGCGGGGTGATGGAAAGAGGGAGAATGGGGCGGGGTGATGGAAAGCGGGAGAATGGGGCGGGGTGATGGAAAGCGGGAGAATGGGGCGGAGTGATGGAAAGCGGGAGAATGGGGCGGGGTGATGGAAAGAGGGAGAATGGGGCGGGATGATGGAAAGAGGGAGAATGGGGCGGGGTGATGGAAAGAGGGAGAATGGGGCGGGGTGATGGAAAGCAGGAGAATGGGGCGGGTGATGGAAAGCGGGAGAATGGGGCGGGTGATGGAAAGCGGGAGAATGGGGCAGGGTGATGGAAAGAGGGAGAATGGGGCAGGGTGATGGAAAGCGGGAGAATGGGGCGGGGTGATGGAAAGCGGGAGAATGGGGCGGGGTGATGGAAAGCGGGAGAATCGGGCGGGGTGATGGAAAGCGGGAGATTGGGACGGGGTGCTGGAAAGCGGAAGAATGGGGCGGGGTGATGGAAAGCGGGAGAATGGGGCGGGGTGATGGAAAGCGGGAGAATGGGGCGGGGTGCTGGAAAGCGGGAGAATGGGGCGGGGTGATGGATAGCGGGAGAATGGGGCGGGGTGATGGAAAACGGGAGAATGGGGCGGGGTTATGGAAAGAGGGAGAATGGGGCGGTGTTATGGAAAGAGGGAGAATGGGGCGGGTGATGGAAAGCGGGAGAATGGGGCAGGGTGCTGGAAAGCGGGAGAATGGGGCGGGGTGATGGAAAGCGGGAGAATGGGGCGGGGTGATGGAAAGCGGGAGAATGGGGCGGGTGATGGAAAGCGGGAGAATGGCGCGGGTGATGGAAAGCGGGAGAATGGGGCAGGGTGATGGAAAGAGGGAGAATGGGGCGGGGTGATGGAAAGCGGGAGAATGGGGCGGGGTGATGGAAAGCGGGAGAATGGGGCGGGGTGATGGAAAGCGGGAGAATCGGGCGGGGTGATGGAAAGCGGGAGATTGGGACGGGGTGCTGGAAAGCGGGAGAATGGGGCGGGGTGATGGAAAGCGGGAGAATGGGGCGGGGTGATGGAAAGCGGGAGAATGGGGCGGGGTGCTGGAAAGCGGGAGAATGGGGCGGGGTAATGGAAAGCGGGAGAATGGGGCGGGGTGATGGAAAACGGGAGAATGGGGCGGGGTTATGGAAAGAGGGAGAATGGGGCGGTGTTATGGAAAGAGGGAGAATGGGGCGGGGTGATGGAAAGCGGGAGAATGGGGCGGGGTGCTGGAAAGCGGGAAAATTGGGCGGGGTGATGGAAAGCGGGAGAACGGGGCGGGGTGCTGGAAAGCGGGAGAATGGGGCGGGGTGATGGAAAGCGGGAGAATGGGGCAGGGTGATGGAAAGCGGGAGAATGAGGCGGGGTGCTGGAAAGCGGGAGAATGGGGCGGGGTGATGGAAAGCAGGAGAATGGGGCGGGGTGCTGGAAAGCGGGAGAATGGGGCGGGGTGATGGAAAGCGGGAGAATGGGACGGGGTGATGGAAAGCGGGAGAATGGGGCGGGGTGATGGAAAGCGGGAGAATGGGGCGGGGTGATGGAAAGCGGGAGAATGGGGCGGGGTGATGGAAAGCGGGAGAATGGGGCGGGGTGATGGAAATCAAGAGAATGGGGCGGGGTGATGGAAAGAGGGAGAATGGGGCGGGGTGATGGAAAGAGGGAGAATGGGGCGGGGTGATGGAAAGCGGGAGAACGGTGGGGTGACGGAAAGCGGGAGAATCGGGCGGGGTGATCGAAAGCGGGAGAATGGGTCGGGGTGATGGAAAGCCGGAGAATGGGTCGGGGTGATGGAAAGCGGGAGAATGGGGCGGGGTGATGGAAAGCGGGAGAATGGGGCGGGGTGATGTAAAGAGGGAGAATGGGGCGGGGTGATGGAAAGAGGGAGAATGGGGCAGGGTGATGGAAAGCGGGAGAATTGGGCGGGGTGATGGAAAGAGGGAGAATGGGGTGGGGTGATGGAAAGAGGGAGAATGGGGCGGGGTGATTGAAAGAGGGAGAATGGGGTGGGGTGATGGAAAGAGAGAGAATGGGGCGGGGTGATGGAAAGCGGGAGAATGGGGCGGGGTGATGGAAAGCGGGAGAATTGGGCGGGGTGATGGAAAGAGGGAGAATGGGGTGGGGTGATGGAAAGAGGGAGAATGGCGCGGGGTGATGGAAAGCGGGAGAATCGGGCGGGGTGATGGAAAGCGGGAGAATCGGGCGGGGTGCTGGAAAGCGGGAGAATGGGGCGGGGTGATGGAAAGCGGGAGAATGGAGCGGGGTGCTAGAAAGAGGGAGAATGGGGCGGGGTGATGGTAAGCGGGAGAATAGGGCGGGGTGATGGAAAGCGGGAGAATGAGGCGGGGTGCTGGAAAGCGGGAGAATGGGGCGGGGTGATGGAAAGCAGGAGAATGGGGCGGGGTGATGGAAAGCGGGAGAATGGGACGGGGTGATGGAAAGCGGGAGAATGGGGCGGGGTGATGGGAAGAGGGAGAATGGGGCGGGGTGATGGAAAGCGGGAGAATGGGGCGGGGTGATGGAAAGCGGGAGAATGGGGCGGGGTGCTGGAAAGCGGGAGAATGGGGCGGGGTGATGGAAAGCGGGAGAATAGGGCGGGGTGATGGAAAGCAGGAGAATGGGGCGGGGTGATCGAAAGCGGGAGAATGGGGCGGGGTTATGGAAAGAGGGAGAATGGGGCGGGGTGATGGAAAGAGGGAGAATGAGGCGGGGTGATGGAAAGAGGGAGAATGGGGCGGGGTGATGGAAAGCGGGAGAATGGGGCGGGGTGATGGAAAGCGGGAGAATGGGGCGGGGTGATGGAAAGCGGGAGAATGGGGCGGGTGATGGAAAGCGGGAGAATGGGGCGGGGTGATGGAAAGAGGGAGAATGGGGCGGGGTGATGGAAAGCGGGAGAATGGGGCGGGGTGATGGAAAGCGGGAGAATGGGGCGGAGTGATGGAAAGCGGGAGAATGGGGCGGGGTGATGGAAAGAGGGAGAATGGGGCGGGATGATGGAAAGAGGGAGAATGGGGCGGGGTGATGGAAAGAGGGAGAATGGGGCGGGGTGATGGAAAGCAGGAGAATGGGGCGGGTGATGGAAAGCGGGAGAATGGGGCGGGTGATGGAAAGCGGGAGAATGGGGCAGGGTGATGGAAAGAGGGAGAATGGGGCAGGGTGATGGAAAGCGGGAGAATAAGGCGGGGTGATGGAAAGCGGGAGAATGGGGCGGGGTGATGGAAAGCGGGAGAATCGGGCGGGGTGATGGAAAGCGGGAGATTGGGACGGGGTGCTGGAAAGCGGAAGAATGGGGCGGGGTGATGGAAAGCGGGAGAATGGGGCGGGGTGATGGAAAGCGGGAGAATGGGGCGGGGTGCTGGAAAGCGGGAGAATGGGGCGGGGTGATGGATAGCGGGAGAATGGGGCGGGGTGATGGAAAACGGGAGAATGGGGCGGGGTTATGGAAAGAGGGAGAATGGGGCGGTGTTATGGAAAGAGGGAGAATGGGGCGGGTGATGGAAAGCGGGAGAATGGGGCAGGGTGCTGGAAAGCGGGAGAATGGGGCGGGGTGATGGAAAGCGGGAGAATGGGGCGGGGTGATGGAAAGCGGGAGAATGGGGCGGGTGATGGAAAGCGGGAGAATGGCGCGGGTGATGGAAAGCGGGAGAATGGGGCAGGGTGATGGAAAGAGGGAGAATGGGGCGGGGTGATGGAAAGCGGGAGAATGGGGCGGGGTGATGGAAAGCGGGAGAATGGGGCGGGGTGATGGAAAGCGGGAGAATCGGGCGGGGTGATGGAAAGCGGGAGATTGGGACGGGGTGCTGGAAAGCGGGAGAATGGGGCGGGGTGATGGAAAGCGGGAGAATGGGGCGGGGTGATGGAAAGCGGGAGAATGGGGCGGGGTGCTGGAAAGCGGGAGAATGGGGCGGGGTAATGGAAAGCGGGAGAATGGGGCGGGGTGATGGAAAACGGGAGAATGGGGCGGGGTTATGGAAAGAGGGAGAATGGGGCGGTGTCATGGAAAGAGGGAGAATGGGGCGGGGTGATGGAAAGCGGGAGAATGGGGCGGGGTGCTGGAAAGCGGGAAAATGGGGCGGGGTGATGGAAAGCGGGAGAACGGGGCGGGGTGCTGGAAAGCGGGAGAATGGGGCGGGGTGATGGAAAGCGGGAGAATGGGGCGGGGTGATGGAAAGCGGGAGAATGGGGCGGGGTGATGGAAAGCGGGAGAATGGGGCGGGGTGATGGAAAGCGGGAGAATGAGGCGGGGTGCTGGAAAGCGGGAGAATGGGGCGGGGTGATGGAAAGCAGGAGAATGGGGCGGGGTGCTGGAAAGCGGGAGAATGGGGCGGGGTGATGGAAAGCGGGAGAATGGGACGGGGTGATGGAAAGCGGGAGAATGGGGCGGGGTGATGGAAAGCGGGAGAATGGGGCGGGGTGATGGAAAGCGGGAGAATGGGGCGGGGTGATGGAAAGCGGGAGAATGGGGCGGGGTGATGTAAAGAGGGAGAATGGGGAGGGGTGATGGAAAGCGGGAGAACTGGGCGGGGTGATGAAAAGCGGGAGAATGGGGCGGGGTGATGGAAAGCGGGAGAATGGGGTGGGGTGATGGAAAGAGGGAGAATGGGGCGGGGTGATGGAGAGCAGGAGAATGGGGCGGGGTGATGAAAAGTGGGAGAATGGGGCGGGGTGATGGAAAGCGGGAGAATGGGGCGGGGTGATGGAAAGCGGGAGAATCGGGCGGGGTGATGGAAAGCGGGAGAATGGGGCGGGGTGCTGGAAAGCGGGAGAATGGGGCCGGGTGATGGAAAGCGGGAGAATGGGGCGGGGTGCTAGAAAGCGGGAGAATGGGGCGGGGTGATGGAAAGCGGGAGAATAGGGCGAGGTGATGGAAAGCGGGAGAATGAGGCGGGGTGCTGGAAAGCGGGAGAATGGGGCGGGGTGATGGAAAGCAGGAGAATGGGGCGGGGTGCTGGAAAGCGGGATAATGGGGCGGGGTGATGGAAAGCGGGAGAATGGGACGGGGTGATGGAAAGCGGGAGAATGGGGCGGGGTGATGGAAAGGGGGAGAATGGGGTGGGGTGATGGAAAGCGGGAGAATGGGGCGGGGTGATGGAAAGCGGGAGAATGGGGCGGGGTGATGGAAAGAGGGAGAATGGGGCGGGGTGATGGAAAGAGGGAGAATGGGGCGGGGTGATGGAAAGAGGGAGAATGGGGCGGGGTGCTGGAAAGCGGGAGAATGGGGCGGGGTGATGGAAAGCGGGAGAATGGGGCGGGGTGATGGAAAGCGGGAGAATGGGGCGGGGTGATGGAAAGCGGGAGAATGGGGCGGGGTTATGGAAAAAGGGAGAATGGGGCGAGGTGATGGAAAGAGGGAGAATGAAGCCAGGTGATGGAAAGAGGGAGAATGGGGCGGGGTGATGGAAAGCGGGAGAATGGGGCGGGGTGATGGAAAGCGGGAGAATGGGGCGGGTGATGGAAAGCGGGAGAATGGGGCAGGGTGATGGAAAGAGGGAGAATGGGGCGGGGTGATGGAAAGCGGGAGAATGGGGCGGGGTGATGGAAAGCGGGAGAATGGGGCGGGGTGATGGAAAGCGGGAGAATGGGGCGGGGTGATGGAAAGAGGGAGAATGGGGCAGGATGATGGAAAGAGGGAGAATGGGGCGGGGTGATGGAAAGAGGGAGAATGGGGCGGGGTGATGGAAAGCGGGAGAATGGGGCGGGATGATGGAAAGAGGGAGAATGGGGCGGGGTGATGGAAAGAGGGAGAATGGGGCGGGGTGATGGAAAGCGGGAGAATGGGGCGGGTGATGGAAAGCGGGAGATTGGGGCGGGTGATGGAAAGCGGGAGAATGGGGCAGGGTGATGGAAAGAGGGAGAATGGGGCGGCTGGTAAGGTCAGTATGCACGCTTGTGTGTAGGTACAAGGCGGAACTGGAACTCTGAAATCTCCCAAATTATGTGGATCGGAAAGGTTATAACCTAGTCTTGTTGAAGTAGAAGGCCTAATCTAGTGGACTGGCAAGAATATGTCACCAACTGCATATCTACAAACATACGTAATGCGCTGGTCAGTTTGGTCGCTATGCGCGCCTGTAGTGCAGGTACCATGTACGACTGGAATGTCTATATCTGCCAAATTACATAGATCCGATAGGTTAAAACATGGTAGGGGGGTGGGGAATGGTATAATTGAAAGGAATTGGGAATACATATGGTATTCACTGTATTTGTACGGAGAGAATAATGCGTCGGCTGGTAAGGTCAGTATGCACGCTTGTGTGTAGGTACAAGGCGGAACTGGAACTCTGAAATCTCCCAAATTATGTGGATCGGAAAGGTTATAACCTAGTGTTGTTGAAATAGAAGGCCTAATCTAGTGGACTGGCAAGAATATGTTACTAACTGCATCTCTACAAACAAGAGTAGTGCGCTGGCCAGTTTGGTTGCTATGCGCGCCTGTAGCGCAGGTACCATGTACGACTGGAATGTCTATATCTGCCAAATTACATAGATCTGATAGGTTAAAACATGGTAGGGGGGTGGGGAATGGTGATGAGAAATGGGAATACATATGGTATTCACTGTATTTGTACGGAGAGAATAATGCGTCGGCTGGTAAGGTCAGTATGCACGCTTGTGTGTAGGTACAAGGCGGAACTGGAACTCAGAAGTCTCCCAAATTATGTGAATCGAAAAGGTTATAACCAAGTGTTGTTGAAGTAGAAGGCCTAATCTAGTGGACTCGCAAGAATATGGTAGTAACTGCATCTCTACAAACATGAGTAATGCGCTGGTCAGTTTGGTCGCTATGCGCGCCTGTAGTGCAGGTACCATGTACGACTGAAATGTCTTAATCTGCCAAATTACATAGATCCGATAGGTTAAAACATGGTATGGGGGTGGGGAATGGTATCATTTAAAAGAAATGGGAATACAGGGTTTAGGGTTTAGGGTTTAGGGTTTAGGGTTTAGGGTTTAGGGTTTAGGGTTTAGGGTTTAGGGTTTAGGGTTTAGGGTTTAGGGTTTAGGGTTTAGGGTTTAGGGTTTAGGGTTTAGGGTTTAGGGTTTAGGGTTTAGGGTTTAGGGTTTAGGGTTTAGGGTTTAGGGTTTAGGGTTTAGGGTTTAGGGTTTAGGGTTTAGGGTTTAGGGTTTAGGGTTTAGGGTTTAGGGTTTAGGGTTTAGGGTTTAGGGTTTAGGGTTTAGGGTTTAGGGTTTAGGGTTTAGGGTTTAGGGTTTAGGGTTTAGGGTTTAGGGTTTAGGGTTTAGGGTTTAGGGTTTAGGGTTTAGGGTTTAGGGTTTAGGGTTTAGGGTTTAGGGTTTAGGGTTTAGGGTTTAGGGTTTAGGGTTTAGGGTTTAGGGTTTAGGGTTTAGGGTTTAGGGTTTAGGGTTTAGGGTTTAGGGTTTAGGGTTAGGGTTTAGGGTTTAGGGTTTAGGGTTTAGGGTTTAGGGTTTAGGGTTTAGGGTTTAGGGTTTAGGGTTTAGGGTTTAGGGTTTAGGGTTTAGGGTTTAGGGTTTAGGGTTTAGGGTTTAGGGTTTAGGGTTTAGGGTTTAGGGTTTAGGGTTTAGGGTTTAGGGTTTAGGGTTTAGGGTTTAGGGTTTAGGGTTTAGGGTTTAGGGTTTAGGGTTTAGGGTTTAGGGTTTAGGGTTTAGGGTTTAGGGTTTAGGGTTTAGGGTTTAGGGTTTAGGGTTTAGGGTTTAGGGTTTAGGGTTTAGGGTTTAGGGTTTAGGGTTTAGGGTTTAGGGTTTAGGGTTTAGGGTTTAGGGTTTAGGGTTTAGGGTTTAGGGTTTAGGGTTTAGGGTTTAGGGTTTAGGGTTTAGGGTTTAGGGTTTAGGGTTTAGGGTTTAGGGTTTAAGGGTTTAGGGTTTAGGGTTTAGGGTTTAGGGTTTAGGGTTTAGGGTTTAGGGTTTAGGGTTTAGGGTTTAGGGTTTAGGGTTTAGGGTTTAGGGTTTAGGGTTTAGGGTTTAGGGTTTAGGGTTAGGGTTTAGGGTTTAGGGTTTAGGGTTTAGGGTTTAGGGTTTAGGGTTTAGGGTTTAGGTGTTAGGGGTTTAGGGTTTAGGGTTTAGGGTTTAGGGTTTAGGGTTTAGGGTTTAGGGTTTAGGGTTTAGGGTTTAGGGTTTAGGGTTTAGGGTTTAGGGTTTAGGGTTTAGGGTTTAGGGTTTAGGGTTTAGGGTTTAGGGTTTAGGGTTTAGGGTTTAGGGTTTAGGGTTTAGGGTTTAGGGTTTAGGGTTTAGGGTTTAGGGTTTAGGGTTTAGGGTTTAGGGTTTAGGGTTTAGGGTTTAGGGTTTAGGGTTTAGGGTTTAGGGTTTAGGGTTTAGGGTTTAGGGTTTAGGGTTTAGGGTTTAGGGTTTAGGGTTTAGGGTTTAGGGTTTAGGGTTTAGGGTTTAGGGTTTAGGGTTTAGGGTTTAGGGTTTAGGGTTTAGGGTTTAGGGTTTAGGGTTTAGGGTTTAGGGTTTAGGGTTTAGGGTTTAGGGTTTAGGGTTTAGGGTTTAGGGTTTAGGGTTTAGGGTTTAGGGTTTAGGGTTTAGGGTTTAGGGTTTAGGGTTTAGGGTTTAGGGTTTAGGGTTTAGGGTTTAGGGTTTAGGGTTTAGGGTTTAGGGTTTAGGGTTTAGGGTTTAGGGTTTAGGGTTTAGGGTTTAGGGTTTAGGGTTTAGGGTTTAGGGTTTAGGGTTTAGGGTTTAGGGTTTAGGGTTTAGGGTTTAGGGTTTAGGGTTTAGGGTTTAGGGTTTAGGGTTTAGGGTTTAGGGTTTAGGGTTAGGGTTTAGGGTTTAGGGTTTAGGGTTTAGGGTTTAGGGTTTAGGGTTTAGGGTTTAGGGTTTAGGGTTTAGGGTTTAGGGTTTAGGGTTTAGGGTTTAGGGTTTAGGGTTTAGGGTTTAGGGTTTAGGGTTTAGGGTTTAGGGTTTAGGG